TAAAAGACTGCATGGTCTTCTACACATAACATAACATGTGTAAAAGATCATGCTATGTTCTGAGTAGAAGACATTCTGTATAAAATGTGCATGGTCTTCTAAATATAAGCAAATTATTTTACCAACAAAATAAAAAAACCAATATAAGTAGATACTTGGTATACGTACCCCAAAAATTTCCATACCAATAAATCTATTGTTTATTGAATATTCATTGATATCGTTTCCATCTGATAAATTCGAAGGTACAAGAAAACTCCAGACGAAATATCTGAACCACTATTTAGAACATAAAGTTTTACGATCGGTATATGTATGACTAGCTTATAAAACTGCGTTAACGATCGTGGAAATTCAAATTCCTAGCATATTTAGTTCTGCCAGAATTTTTATTGTTAGCTCAAGGATACCTAGGTAGCTATTGCTTGGGAAATGATGGTAGTTATAATTTTATTCGGATTAGCCCTAATGGCCCGTACTTGAGGCTAGATTGAGGTACGAATGTTACATAATTTAGTTTTATTTTGTATGTAATGTAATGTAATGTAATGATATTATTGTGTGTAATTATGTTGTTATGAATATAGGACTTTGTGCGTAAAAAGTTATGGGTCCGTGTCCGCCCTGAGGACACGGTGGAACACACGGTGGGAGAATGCCCTTCGTGGGCTGAGCACCGCCGTGTCCTCAGGGAAGTGATCGGCGATGGCGACCTCTCGCGTCCGGGCCTAGTGCAGGCCATGATGCGGAGCGAGGGGGATTGGGATGCCGTCTCCTCCTTTTGCGAAGCAGTCATGCTAGCTAAGGAGGAGGCGGGACGCGTGAGGCAGCGAAGCGCTGCCTCCTCGCAACCCAGCCATCGCGAAGGACACACCGGGCGTCGGGGATCGCGGGACGATCTCCGGCCACCGTAAGCGCGGGCCTGCGGACGGCGAGCATGGGTGGCTCCCCGTCCGACCAGAAACAGACCCGAGCGTACGGCGCGTCGCGTTCCGCGCGCGCCTCAAAGAGCCATCAGACCACCACAGATGGGGCCCAATAGGGCCGATGCCGATTCGGAGTCGCGGAGAACCTAACGGGTAACCGGGGCTCCGGCTCGACGTGCAGGAGAAGGAACGGGGTGGTTTTTAGTCAGTAAGAGTCTGACACTCCCTCCCGCCTCACCCAGGCGGGCTCATGCTTCAATGACATGGTGGCTCTTCAGTCGGATTTGGATCGATTAGATGAGTATTGTCAGCGTAACAAACTGGACCTGAATCCTGCGAAGTGTTCAGTTATTACTTATAGTCGTAAACGTAGCACATTGCCAACAACTTATAGGTTGAGGATGCAGGTGGTACCCAGATGCGATGTAGTGAGGGACTTGGGCGTTTACCACGACCGTAAACTCCTGTTTGATAACCATATTGAAGAGATAGTTGGTAAGGCATATAGAGCACTTGGTTTTATTATGAGGGTCTCTAAAGATTTCAAACAGGCAAAAACACTCAAGATTTTGTACTGCACTTACGTAAGAAGCCACTTAGAATATGGATCGCAAATATGGAATCCTTGTTACAGTACTTACATCCAGCGACTGGAGGCAATTCAACAGCGCTTTATTAAATTTCTTTGCTTCAAACTTCATGTTCCATATAGCTCAGACAAATATCTGGAATTGTGTAGGCAGTTTCATATTCTGCCCCTTACCAATCGCCGTCGGATAGCGGATTGTACCACACTGCTAAAAATCATCTCAAATGAAATTGACTGTCCCGATCTCTTGTTCAAACTCTCTTTCAATGTGCCATGCAGATCTATTCGTTACAATCCCCCACTTTTAATTCGGAATTCCTCAACGAGGTATAGGCAGAATTCCTTTATTATGCGTGCAAGCAGAGACTTAAACAACTTGTGTAAGGAGTATCCAATAGATCCGTTTGTGACGCGGACTTCTGCGGTGCGAAGGATGCTCACCCTACAGTTTTTTAATTGATCAATGAATTAAGTGGGTAACTTGGTTTATTATTAATTTGTTATTGTTGGTAGTATGGTTGGTGTGTGTTTAATTTTTATGTTTTTTATTTAGTTGGTACATGCTCTTGCTGTTTTTTTTTTATTAGTTTTCTTGTGCAATAATCTTATATCTTCTTATACTATTATATAAAGCCGAAGAATTTATTTTTTTTGTTTGTTTGTTTGAACGCGTTAATCTCCGTAACTACAAGTCTGATTTGAATAATTCTTTTTGTGTTGGATATCGCATTTATCGAGGATGGCTATAAGCTAAAACACCACGCTGCAACCAATAGGAGCTGAGCAGAGCGTGTGAAACCGTGCGGAAGTAGTGGTAAAGTAATAAAATTTCTTATTTGAGTTCCCTTGAGACTACTATTTATTAATCATCATCATCTGGTAAAAATTAGGTATTACGTACTTCCACAATAGGTCTAACCTTTCGATACATTGAGTTTATTAATTCCTAATGCATATTAAGGACAAACTACGAAGTTTTTACGCGAGGCTAAGTTTGAGACTGCCTCATTAGCCTGGAGCCTAAGTTCGGGGAAACCATTTTCGGCTCGAACAGAGGCTTAATTAAAGGAGTTGTCGATCAACTAATGTTCAATACTAGTATGTAGTTTGGAATTATGATCAGTATTTAGCAATAGTTTCGCTTTGTTCTTTATATTAGACGCATAATGTATATGGCTGATAGTTAGTATTATATTTTGAATATGAATTTCTGTTTAAATATCTTCAATACATCTTAAATGACCTTGCATCACAGTACATGTTTAACAGTGTGGGAGAGCCATGCTTTGACACAAACGGGCCGGCTCGACCAGAGTGATACCACGGCCTCACAGAAAACCGACGTGAAGTTGTGTTTCGTTGTGTGAGTGAGGTTACCGGAGGCCCAATTACCCTCGCCTTCCCCAATCTCCTCAATCCCTGAATCCTCAACGATCCTCAAACTCCTCCGGTGTTCCAGGTGTCCATGGGCGACGCCGATTGCTTTCCATCAGGTGATCCGTCAGCTCGTTTACCGGCTTTTGCCATAAAAAAACAGTATCAATATGAAAACTGACCTTAAGGTAATTTCTGTTAATTCTTTCTAAAGATATGGTGTTCATTTGCTTCGACTGTTCATATTGTCGCTCTTGACAGTGTGACTGGCCGACTCAGGAAACCTGTATATTTATAAGAACTTTCTGTTTGTAGAAAGCTAAAATGGACTTATGGGTTCCTTAAGAAATCCAACGATTAATGTTTTACAAAACCTAACATTACCAAAATTTTTTTTTAGAAAAATTCGGTATCTGGTTTGTATCGTGTCTTACGTAAAATCTATCTTTATTGTAGTCTTACAAACTAGGCACAACATAAACTTAACATTAATTGTTCTGCAAAGTACATATCAGGTATAATGTCTGTTACCTACACCTACATTACTGTACAATTACCAACACAATATGCCTGAACACATACCTGACAATCATCGACCTAATTTAATACTATTAGGTCCGAACAATTCGTAATATCAATTAAACGTAACATCACTCTCAGGGTATTGTTCTTTCACATTATCAGTACTCCAGTCTGAGTTAGGTTCTGAACATTTTCTTTGGTTTGATATTAGATTGGGTTACACAAAGATTCCATTAGTGAACACTTACTTAGTGTTTATGTATTTCGTTAGTGAAGTTCTGTAATTGATTGTCTGTGTACTGTTTTTGTGTGGTGTTTTTTTGTTAAGTTATTATTGAGTGAAGTGTCATGTTATTTTGTATCGAACGTATAAGAGTGTTTGTAAGTGTAACTGTTGAATGATAAGTCGTTGTTTTGATTCTGTAAGGTTTTTAATATCAGGTTCATGAAAGCACTTACTAAGCCGTTTTCTTGTGCAGCATTTAGCAGCAGGACGAATTAATTTTTAGTTTAGCTCTCTTTTGTTGCATGGAACTTGTGAAAAATGGATGATATATTTAAAATTTGCAACTCTGCTTGCACTTTCGGAAGTAAAATGTGTAATATTATAGATCTTAAATTCCATAAGAAATCTGCTAGTGTTTCCGAAAAAACAGCGTAATTGTTCGTCGACCTAACCGTTTTTTATGCTTACTTACGAGTACTTTTCGTTGGAAATATGTAGCTAATAACTTTGAAGCCAGACTGAAATAAAGAAAGACTTAGTTGGCCTTCGTAAATAACTGTAAAGTTAAGATGAAATGAGAGGGAAACAGAGTGTAAGTTCAGTACTAACCCTTGGAGTAATAAAGACAGCAACAAAACAATATAAAACACCCTGTAGGAGAGTGCCTACTCAAGAAAATTGACGCCCTTACAAACCCTACCGTTTTCACCGAGCCACCAAATGCCGCGTCCTATTTTACATACGGACTAAAGCTGCGGTTTCACTGCGAGAAAATATTAGTTGGTGTTTTTGAGTCGACTTTTTAGACCGTCTGACCACTTTTTGCGTGTTAGAACGGTTGGTTATGCCTTTTAAATCCCGTAATTAAAAATTATGTTGTATCTTTGTTTACATTAGGTGTTTATTTATTTGCATAGTACATGTTTTTATAATAACTACATATCATACTAAATTAACTAGAAATTTACTATGTGGTTACTCACATGATTATTCGAACTCCGGCGGCCGAGCGCTAGACGATGTTGAAGGCCTCTCTGTTCGAAACCAGTAGAGCTTTTCTCAGTATATTCACGTGAGTAACCCGCGATTTTTAGTCAATTGCGTAGTACATATTTGACATGTAAACAATTTATATAATTACATTTTAACAGTAAAAAGTAACACCAAAAACAAGGAACAACAGAAATCTACCACGCCTCAATTGTTCTTGCAACTACACATAGAACCTGCTTAGCGACAAAAATCACCAGATACATAAAAACATATCTACAACATCATAATAAATCTCGCCATTACTCCAAGCACGTGAACACTCAACTTAATACTCAGCTACAGAGGTTATTAACGCATTCTTTTGTTCTAGGAACGATGACCCCTCACCCTCGGGAGTCGGCGTGAGAGATGGCGCGTGCGGCTGCCGTCTGCCTATTCACAGCTCATTTCCTGGGCTGCATTATTGGTAAGCGTTTTTCTTACCAGTGCGTGGGAGGTTTTATTCGGATGATGGTGTGATAAATGATGTGGTGTTGCTTAGATGTTATGAAGTACACTATTGAATCATTTTTCTTTATATATCTCAGCCTTATTAGTTGAATTTGTGCTAATCGAAAGTTCAAGGTCAAATGGTTCGGTCCACAGACAGAAGAAAGCGTTATTGTGTTTGGAATTTTCTATAGCTATAACAGATACGTGATTTGGTTTTGATCCCAAAGTATGATAATTAGGTTAATTTTATCGTACACTGATATTAAACACAACGTCACGCCTTTTATTCCCGAAGGGGTAGACAGAGGTGCTCATTACGGCACTTATTGCCACTGTACAATGTTACACCCAATAGGGGGTGAGCTTATTACCTTATATACTGGGCACCATTTCAGACTCCAGATTTTAGTTTTTAAAACCCAGTAATACTTTGACCGATCGGGAATCGAATCCGAGACCCCTTGTTCAGCAGTCGCTCTTGCGACTACACGGCCAGCGATGCGATCATGTTATGTTAAAATACTCAATACTAGGTATGTAGGGAACATAATGTACCTGCCTTACTTCTATATGGGTCACATTTCCTGAAGCTTACATGAGTGATATCAGTTTTGAATCTAAAAATACTCTTACGTGACACGTTTACTATTCAAGTATGTAAATAAAATGATTAATGTAACAATATCACGTTCCTTTTGCACCAGTATAGTTCAAAGTTTAATTAAAAATATACTAAACAAAATAAGTTTTACAAAAAAAAAATGAGAAAACTGAACATAAAACCTTTCAACGTTACGTGTTGTTGAAAACCTTATTTCATTATAAAATATAAGAAATAACAACTACTAAGTAGTTTTTTGGCACCTAATAATTTTGTAAGTAAAAGCTTACTTGAGGTATTATTTTACGAAACTAGGCTAGAGGGAGTTACTTTATACCGCCTCATATAAATATTTAACTTTGTTTGGCATAAGTCGGTAAACGAGCAGACGGATCACCTGATGGTAAGCAATCGTAGCCCATGGACACCTGGAACACCAGAGGCGTTACAAGTGCGTTACCAGCATTTTGGGGATTAATAGTTTGAAGATCAGGGATTGAAGAGATTGGGGAAGGGGATGGTAATTGGGTCTCCGGTAGCTTGTAAGTTGTTGTAGTAATTTGGACTGAATATTTTTTTTATTTTACGGGCGTAGACATAGGTCAATTAAGAAATGTGCTATGCCACAAGTAGGTTCACACGGCTATACATCGAGCATTACAAAACCAGTATAAACTGAACGTTAAATGTGCGGAAAGATGATGCGACGCGACACCAGGATAAACTGGTTTTGTATAGATTGATGTGTGGCCTTGTGTACAAGTCCAATGTGTGATAATCCAATGAAATATGCAAATGCATTAGAGAATAATGAATACGTAAAAATGTTTTGATCCTAGCAAGACAAAACAAATGTGTATCGTATTTCTCAATCACTATAAGGGCAAACCTAACAAAGGAAATCCTAATGTAAAAACTGAACTGTGAAATTGTCAAGAACTGTCTAGTTTCTCAAAATCAGCCACTAGAAACCTTAAAATGATATAAAGAATAATTCTTTCATTAACCACGATTAGAAAAACCGACTTCAACCCCTCTTTGTTAAAGTCGATTAATTAATATACTAAAACCTTCCCCTAAATGTAACAAATACTTTTCTAAAATCCGCACCAAAATATAAATCAACACACGTACGCACGGCTACACATCGAGCTTTGTATAACCAGTAGATATAAACTGAACGTTAAATGTGCGGAAAGATGCTGCAACGCGACGCCAGGATAAACTGGTTTTGTATAGATTGATGTGTGGCCGTGTGTACATACAGGTCAATCTAACAATCTCCTTCTTTTTGTGAATTCGGCTAAAAACCGGCGACAAGTCTTATTTCCTGCCCCCATCAAACAAAATTAAAAGACGTATTATTATTCAGTCAATTGAATTCACCACAATTAGCGTCCGTCAAGATTTTATCATTTTTCCATTTGAAACAGGGACAAAAACACGCAATGCAGGTACAATCTATCTACCAGCGACAGTCGGGGACATACATTTTTCATGTGCGTAATAAAATGGGTAAGAGGGCGGGTAGACGGCTGTACGTAAAGAATAGGTGTTGGCTATTAAAAGATTTTTAACCGACTTCAAAAAGAAAAAAAGGAAGCCTAAGTTTGACCTGTGTGTTTGTATGTCTGTATGTTTGTGCACTTTTATCTCGCGATTGGCTGAACCAATTTTGATGAGGTTTTCAGAAGTATTTGTTAAAATTTAAGAGTTTTTTTTTTAAATTAATTAACCGATCAAACTCGATGTAGTTTATTAAAGAATCATGTGATAGTATGTTATTGAATTTTATTTTTGAAGAGACCAAAAATATCACCTTATAATTGTGCCATAATAATGTAAACTCTAAATCCAATATGAAAATAACAATTACAATGTAAATATGTAATTAAAAATAACCCGAAAGCAATTCTACTATTAGAAATAAAAACTACGTTTAATTCTGCTACAAAAAAAAAAAAAACAATTCGCTCATTCACGTACCAAAAACTACAGTACCGTTCTACGCCTCAATTTGATGTTGATTTTATGTCACCAAAATAACGAGCTGAAAATAAAGTACTATCACGTACTCCAATCTAAGCATAACTATAACCGTGCCTAACATACCTCAAAGACACATAAAAATAAATCTAATAATAACTTTTTCTTCACATTCAAGAGTCTATCACAAATCTCTCGTCTACGCCCAACAGCTCTTCTGTATATCTCTCAACAGCAATAAAGTCTCAGTAAATTCGTCCAACAAAGCTGAGGGATCATAATTTAAAATTTACCACTTAATCAAGCCACAGCTGACAATCATGATTTACGTCCCTTCTGTGGACGTTTCATTTTCTACTCAATTACTTTCTCCTGGTCTTTAGGAGATAATGCGATTAATTTTTAATTTGATCAGGGGGCTCTATTAATCTGCTGGGGTTTGCAGAAATTTGGGGATTAATTAATTGTGTATTTTTTATTTTATTACTGAATAATTTTGTCGTTGATTCTCGAATTTATTGTTCAGACTGATGATAAAAAATTATATTAATCTATCATTGGATCAGGATCAGATTACAATACATGACACAAAATAATAATAATTACTGTCTACTTTTTCCAAAAACATTATAGTATTAAGTCTCGACCTAAAACTAAAAATAGTTAAATAAAACTAGACCAACAATGACTCTCTAATTATAGTTATAGACCCTAAGCTAACAAAAACTGTTGTTTTTATTTAATATTAGCTCCGTGACCGCCCACGACCTCGTCCCGGAATAAAATGTGTTAATCCAAGTCAAGATCTCTGCCAAATTTAAATTAAATCGGTTTTTACTTGAAAGATTAACTAACACCACATTTACTGTATTTACAATTCTATAGAAATACATTTCATTGTCTTAGTACATTCAAAGAAATTATTTGTGAGTTTGAACATAAATTTGGAAGCATAGGACCTTTGCTTTGACCTTGGGTCCGACCCTGAGTTCAATATCAATTTTGTAATTGTCAAAACTTATGTTAATAGACTCTGTGGTAGAATTCTTTGTAATACATATTCCTTTTTAACCACTTCACAAAAAACAAGGAGTTCTTTAACCTAACTCCATATAAATCTTTGAGGGAAAACTGAGTGAGGAATTAAAGGTGTTAACTAATATTATAATTGTGAAAGTTTGTATGTTTCTTTTTTACTCCTTCATGTGAAAACGGCTGAAGAGATCGAGATAAAATTATTATTATGGTTTAGAATAACACATAGACTACTTTATATCCTACGAGAATGCGGGTGAGGCCGCTGGCAGAGGCTAGTATAAAATTAGAAAATAGAGGTTAAAAATAATGTTGTACCTATGTTTGTATAATGTAACGTTGTAGTATATTATTATGTGTGTGAGTAACGTTAATCTGAAGAATATATTTTATTGTAATACAAATCTTCACTTCACCAAACAATATTTGGCAGAATTTCATGAAGAATTTCTTCTTTGTTGATCGAACGTGTTTTGTTTTCTTGTTTGATAAGACGGTTGTGGAATGAATAATTAATGATGGTATTGCTATTTTCGAGGCTGTTTCATCAAAGAAACGGTATGCTACCTGATTTATTGATCTAGCTAGATTGTATCATCAACAGCCTATAAGTGCCCATTGCTGAGCTAAGCCTCTTCTCAAACGGAGAAGGTTTGAGCATTAATCACCACGATTGCTCAATGCGGGTTGGTGATTACAAACTTATACTTAGAAATTATAAGCCCAGGTTTCCTCGCGATGTTTTCCTTGACCGTTTGTCAGCGGTGTCTAGATAATCTTCAAAGGTCAAAAGGTACTTGCCGTTGGTGGGTTTCGAACCCGCATCCTCATGCATGAGAAGCGGGCGTCTTAAACCTCCGGGCCACCACGACATTGTAGATAAAGCTAGATTGTATACGATTATCAATTACACGAAATGTTTACATAATGAAATAGTTCTCAATTTAGATTTGATTAGGTCATTGAACTTGACCTTGAGTTTGTTTATGACTGGCAGATAACAAAAACGATCCTCATTTCATTTTAAAATAATATTACCTAATACAACACACTTGCCTACCCTTTCTGGTAATTTAGGCGTAATACTATAATTATATCACGCCACGCCATTGTATACTGTTGTCAGTTTAATTATAGTTGTCTGTTGACAGAGTAATGAGGTTCGCGTGATAAAATGTTTTTTCATTAAACATGCCTTTACTCGTTGAAATTGTATGAAAGTATGTATACTCATACCTTAGAGGATAGTACTGCAGTGTTACGCAGCGAATGTTCTGTTATGATCTCGTAGCGCTACGTAGGCGTGACGTCAGCTGCTACGCGTCGTAGCGGCTACGAGCTACGACGCGGATAAATTAATGTCTTTACTCTACGTTTTAATTATGTTTTTAATAGTGAAATAGTTACTAAGCACATTTATTCGTAAATATTTTAGATTAATGAATATTGAAAATAAATATATCATTAGTTTCTGGAGAAAACTACAACATTTCAATATTAAGTACTTCCTATATTATTTATACTCGGATCTTAGCCTGTCAAGTTTATTTAGCACTTCATAGTAAAATTCAAGGTGAATTAAATTCTGTAGAAACAAAAACGATAAACAGTTCGATGAAATCTTAATACTTTTTATTAATAAATACTTTATAGGTCAATGTCTGTTTACGACACTACTTACCAAATACGATCGTTTTAACTTTAGTTACGATTTATACATTAATCCTTACTAATATTATAAATCGGGAAGTGAGTTTGTTTGTTTGTTTGTTCCGCTTTCAAGCCGTAACTACTAAACCGATTGCTTTGAATTTTTGCAGACGTAAAGTTAGAATTCTGGATTTAATAATAGGGTACTTTTTATCCCGGAAAAATTTGATATTCCCGAGGGAAAACGAAATTATTGGTATAGATGGCGCTGTGTGTATTGGTATATGTCACGTAGGCTCCTTTTTTAGCCTTTTGTGACGCGAGCTAAGCCGCGGGTAAAAGCTAGTATAATAATATTTGTAAATCTGTCTTCAATCAATAATTAATTCATAAATTCTATTTCTGCTTTTTTCCATTCATAAACTTTATTTAAATACGTCCAGTATTTCGCCTTAAGCTCTTGCAATTAATAACAAAGCAACAAAAAATCATTCATTTCAATATCGTTCAGAACCATTCGACCATTCGTTCGTTCATTCTTTTGATCTACTTCTTTCGAAGAACGATTGCTGTTTGACCTTTATGGAGCGCAAGAAACCATAATTGCAGCAAAAAGCTTTTCATTCGAAATGACTTCAGAGCCATTCGAATAAATTGATCCAGGATTTATTTCTTAATTTTCTATAAAATATTTTCCTGATTTAATTCTTTGTAAATATATGCTATATTTTTAAATTATTTGGTATTGTTTACTTCTTCATTCTCAATGTCGCTTCCACTATTAAAAAGAATAAACTGGGTTTTAAAAATAAGTCAATAGTATTGTTTTTTGTGATTTAAACATAAGCAAGTGTAAACACTTCTGTTGTATGTAAATTGTTGTTGTATATACTACTGAGAACTTGTTTTTTAAATCCCAGCAATACTTTGCCCGACTTGGGAATCGAACTCTTTGCCTGGCAGTCACACTTACGACCAATTGGTCAACGAGGCAGTCTATCAGTATAAATCTACTAAATTAACATAACATAACATAACATCACGTCTTTTATCCCCGAAGGGGTAGGCAGAGGTGTACATTATGCCACTGTACAATGTAACACCCACTTTCCCCTATTTATGTTATGAGTCCCATAAAATAGGGGGTGAGCCTATTGGCGTATACTGGGCACAATTCCAGACTCCACGTTACTAGTTTTTTTTTTAAACCCCGTATTACTTTGCCCGACCCGGGAATCGAACCCAAGACCCCTTGCCGGCCGTCGCACTTGCGACCAATCGGCCAACGAGGCAGTCTATCTACTACATTCTTTAGCCTAAATATTCCAAAACCACAATTACATACCGTAAACAACATCAATGATTATACTGTCAAGTAGACGCAAGTAAGCGAAGGTGAAGCACAAAGTACTTTCAATAACACAAACGATTTTGTCCACAGTATGCCGTCAAGACAGCACTAACAACCGACCACGAGATCAGAGTACTGTCTCGGAATCATCTCGAAGATTTAGAACAGAGTTCCTCGAAGACTGGCCACAAACACCCGGAGCTCCATACTTTGACCCTAGTACTCCTGAAAACGTGACCGGCCTAGTTGGACACCCGGTGACGCTGTTATGCAAAGTTAAGAATCTACAAAATAGAACTGTAAGTAGTTTAGTATATTATCTATAATTGTTTGTTTTTATATAAACTAAATCTCAGAATTCTCAGAATGCCAAAGTTCAGTTTGGCTTAAAAGAAATTGTTGATAGTCGAAATTAAAGTCAAAGTCACAATCATTTATTTCAATTATTAGACCAGGAAGGAACTATTGAACGTCAACAACAAAAATTTAGAAGTGAAGCTAGTTGCTCATTCCAAGGTGTAGACACCTATGGAGAAGAACTCAATCTGTGATCCCCAATTTGCTTATCGACTAATTATTACGGAAACTCTTCTTTTCTCTTCCTCTTTCTTTTATTTTCTCTGTCTTTCTTTTCTTGCCTTTGTTTATTGGTACCAATTCTAGAATCCAATTCATGAGGATGTTGATGATGGATAATGTGGACATAAACAGCTAATAACTATTCCAAGGTGATCTTTGAATGAAGAACCAATTGTCACGAATGTATTGAAGTCTGCTCCAAAGTCTATACCAGTTATTGGCAGTTTTAATGTACTAAATGATCGGTCTATTGAGTCAAGACAAAGTTGGACCTAGAAATTAATTGGCTCTAATGTTTCGTGGTAATGTTTGCAAGAGTTTTGACTTAAGTATCGTATTCTGATTTTGATTGCGTGTCTGTTTTTGATTTGCTTTGTTTGATTAATTAAATGGTATGTAAAGATGTGCAAACTATAGAATTAATATTCGATTTATGTATTATAATATGCATTTACGATGAAGCGGTTGAAAACTCTAAAAAATAAAGTTTTGGATAATTCTCTATATGGGTTCAGTTTTAGTTCTTATGGACTTATGATTATACCGACTATCAAAGATGTCTTCAAAGATAAGATTTTTTTTTTATATAACGTGTCTATTATCACCTTGAAGCCATTACGCAGATGTTTCTGTTAATACGCGTGGTAATATTTACCTTATTCTGTCATCTAAAGAAAATGTTATTTTCTCTAATCAAAATTGATTAACAAAAATAATTTAAAAACAGAATGAAAGTAATAAAAAAAGAAAAATAGTAAAATCATTCACGTAAAATTTCTGGCGTATTTAAAGGCCGCATAGAAACTTGCGACTACAAAATTTTGAAAATTAAATCATGAATAAATGTTTGTATTTCTAAGTTCAAACCGCAATTTGCTTCTGAAAAGGTCAAGACAAAGAACCAGAGAACAATTGTATTATTGCTTCATGTAAATAGGACTCAAACTTTAGAAGGTTGTGACTTTCATACTATTGTCATCGCTACAAGTTTAGTTACATTTAGTACTACGAATAGCTATTTTCTTGTTATCATAGTTCGACCCATCTCAAATAAGTTAGACAGGCCAATCCAGTGGATTAGTTATCGCGATTCCATTTTGATTAACCTAACTGTATGCTAAGGTTAGTCTGTGAGTTTAGTGTACTTCAAATATGTACGTTTTGATTAGTAACTTGAGTGTTATTCGATGTTTGCATTTCTTTGATCTTCTGTTTATCTGATTCGAAAATTAGGTTTTAAACTGTCAAACACCAAGCGGTCACCGGTGACCGCAACCTATTGTTCTATAATTGTGTCTACAAAACCGGTACTCGACGAGTTAATGTACTATTGATGATGGTGTAAGTCAACATGTTAAACATCGCGTCTATCACCGGTGACAGACCGGTCACGGTGGTTGTTAGCGGAAAATTTGCTTTCTGTGGTTTTCTGTAGACAATCAAAATGTTTATTACTTGAGTGCACATTTTATGAATTATATTGCCATTTGCATTTTTTAACAAGCATATGAGAAATTACCGTAGCACATTGTTATAATTATTATTTTTTGTTGTTCAGGTATCATGGGTCCGTCACCGCGACATCCACCTACTGACTGTGGGCCGCTACACGTACACGTCGGACCAGCGCTTCGAGGCGCAGCACAAGCCGCGCTCCGAGGAGTGGGCGCTGCGCATCCGTAGCCCGCAGCGCCGCGACTCCGGCCAGTACGAGTGCCAGATATCTACCACACCGCCAATAGGACACGCTGTACATCTTAATATTGTAGGTCAGTAGATGACAATTACTGTAGTAGGTACCCTAGTTTTCCGTCATCAAAGTATCTACTTTACTTACGCACAAACTGTAATAAATATTATCACGATAAGCCCTCCTGTAGACACGGGGTGTTTTGTAGACGACAGAGGGGTAACGTTTGTCGTTGACTGCAGCTGACGTATCAACGGGGGGTTTTTTTTTTTTTTTTTTTTTT